TGCATATCAATAACTTGAGTAGATAGTGCCAAATAGTTTTCCAAAATGATTTTACCAACATACTCCCACCATTGGTTTGTGAGTTCCAGTTGCTTCACATCCGTGGCAACACTTGGTATTTTTTGTCTGCTTAAATTTTCTTTCTGCAGAATTTTAGCCATTCTGATGGAAGTGTTTTATCAAATGCATCAATGAAAAACAAAGAGGGTTTATTCTAAAAATTCTTACAAATCATAATAGTGTTTAAAGAGTAGAAAGCTAGGGAAATTGGAGGATTTTGTTTGTTCTATGTTGAAGGAATGGTCTACAGAAAAATTAAAAATAAGGAAAAAGAAGGAAGGGAGGGAAGAAGAGGGAGATAGATGAGAGAGAGAGAGAGAGAGAGAGGAGAGAGAGAGAGAGAGAGAGAGAGAGAGAGAGAGAGAGAGAGAAGAAAAGAAGGAAGGAAGGAAAGAGGGAAGGAAGGAAGAAAGGAAGGGAGGGAGGAAGTGAGGGAGGAAGGGGAGAGGGAGGAAGGAAACGAACAGTGTAGATATGTACCGTAACTAGATTCTCTGACCTGTAATGACTTCTGTAGGGAGGACTTGATGATGTGTGTAACTGGGAAGGCTTGTCAGCAGGTTATTTCAGGGAAGATATGAGATCATTTTTCACTGAGAAGGAGAATAATTTTTCAGGAAACTATGACCCAGAGAATTTCATCCATATAGATGGCCAATTTTCGTAAACCAGAATAACCCAAACATTTGTTTTCTTGATTAATATTTGTAAGCTTTGGGGGATTTTTCTTTGGAGTTATAGGAATAATTATTCCAACTCTTATGCTTGTTTGGCTTGTGTGAGACTCAGCCCTCATGTTTACTGAAGGGAATCTAATCAACACTAAAAACAAATTTTACATCCTGTCTCCTGCTTCATAGGCATTGACTAGTCCCACTTTACCATGAGTCTACTCATAGTGATTAAGCTTTTTGTGAATTCACAAAGCAGTTGGCCCCAAATTTACTTCATACTCACCATTTTCATATTTCTCTTAATATGTCAATTCTGACTTTGATCCTCCATGGTGTAAGGATGTGTGTAACACAAGGAACTTGACATTGTTTAGCTTAAGAGTAATTTTAGGGGACTTGTAAAGGCCATCTTCAATTACTTGATGACTATCATGAGAAAGAGAACATGTGTTAAATTAGTGTGATTCCAGAATTTAAAATAACGGTACAAGGCATGGGTTTTAACTTAGTTTATAAGGATAGGCTTCCTAATGCTTAAAACTGTTTAATAATGAAATGTCCTGTTTATGAAAAAGAAGATAATCTAATGCTGAAGAATGAATGGTTAGGTTGGGGGCAAATGATAGAATGTTGAGTTGCTAAGGTCAGACCTCCAAAGAGCTCTGTCTTACTCTGAGACTCTATGATTTGTGTTATACTCAATCTAAGATGTCATCTATTACAAAAAGCATCCTGATTTCAGAGAGGTTAAAAGTGTGAAAAATTGAGGGTGGTAAAATGGATGAAATGCCGTTTACATTATCTTATTTTTTGAGGAGAGTTTTTAGATCACACATAGCTTTGTAGTTTTTACCACTTTCTCTGTTTACCCCACCCTCTCATACTTTGCTTGATCTAGTTAGTCCCAGGGTATGCCTGTGGGTTTACACATATTGGAAATAACCAAAGGAAAATATATTTCTTTTTTTTTATTGGGGGATG